CTGGACGGTGCTGGTGATAAACTCAGTGCGCAAGAGAAGAGCGAGGCACTGAAGGCTTGTGACGACACAATCAAGTGGCTCGATGCGAATACGTTGGCCGACAAGGAAGAGTACGAAGACAAGATGAAGACACTAACACAACTTTGCACACCAGTTATGACGAAGTTGCATAGCGGGGGACAAGGAGCTTCCTGTGGTCAACAGGCGGGCGGTTTCAATGGTGGACGCAGTGGTCCCACTGTTGAGGAGGTAGATTAATGTGTAGCAGTTAGCAAATGTAATTAGGAATAGATCTCTGTACTTTAATGTGTAATTCATAAGAAACTATTAGTAAATAGTTAACTAGTCTCTAAGAGGAAATATAATGTAAAAAAGAAAGACTGCAAAATATAACATTAATAAGTTATTTGTTTAAAAAAGAAATCTTTGTTGTATTTTACTTGAATTTCTTATTTTTTAATTTCTTTTTGTGTTTTGGTGTGGTCTACTGCATATTTTCTTGAAGTATTGGGCATTTTAGGCAAGGGTTCGAATATACATTCAGCAGGTGAATGAATCCCCGGTAGCTTATTTGAAGTATACGCTACGTTCGTAGCTATTCGAATTCAATTTTGTAGATTTCACGGAAGATCGGACTACGATAAATTCTGTGATAGCCCTGAAAATGTCGTTACTCTTGTTAGGCGATTTGCGCATTAATCAACTGAAAATTTGCTGCATAATACTGTGTTCAGAAATTCATGAAGCCAAAGCATCAGGCTCTTTTATTTCTAAACTATAAATGATGAAAATTTCCAATATGCGCAACCACGGTTAAATGTCGAATGGGAACTTAGTTGCGCAAATAAAGCATTTCCTCCAATTATAGTTTATAAATAAAGGAGCCTGATGCATTTCCGAACACAGCCTACTTTACACTTTTATTTTTTGGTCGACTCTTGGCGGCAATTACAGATGTGCAGTGCCTGGCTATATCAGCTGCCAGCTTTCAGTTGCTAGTTGCCCTCTGTAATACCATTTAAGCTATCCGCAATCGATCCATTATTCTATCACTAAGTCTACTAATCGGGGCTTCGTCTTACAAAACTTGATTAAAAAGCATTAAAAATGTTTGAAGATTTAATTTCTACCTAAACTTTGCAAGTTTTAATTACTATTTTTTCTTAACTGTTTATGGCTTCACCAGCTTCTACTGTTTCTTTTCCAATAAACATGCTACTGAAACAAGTAATTTTTAGCAAAAAAAAAAACGACTTCAACTCCCATATAAAAAAAATATATATATATATATCTCATGATCCACTGATCGGATCTCAACCAGATTAGTATGGGACGACCTCTGAGACACTACCTTTCCGATGCAAAAAGAATTATCGAAATCGGTTGACGTGGTCCAAAGTTATGCGGTAACATACATAAAAAAAAAAATAAAAAAAATATTCCGACGAACTGATAACCTCCTCCTTTTTTGGAAGTCGGTTAAAAATTTATTTGTAAACATTTACGATTTTTTTATCGGATATTTCCCATCAAAATCGTTTTGTATAATTGTTAGCTATCATTTTGAATTAATTTCCATATTGGTGCAGCCTTTTGCGACGTTATTTCTCTTATTTGTGATATGTTGGACGATTAGCTCGATTAAAAGATATAATAAAAATTTTAAATTTGGCATGCCACATGGCCGCTATAATAGCAGATGTGCAGGCAATTCTTCTGACGTGGGCAGCACAACAAACAGCAGTGATAGGCACGCAATTTCCTGGCATATACGCTATGCACAAACACTTGCTGGAGAAGAGTAAGTACTTGTGGCTATAATATTTACTCTCAATATCCACTAATTTATTCATAAATACTTTTGCCATTTAAAATATTCAAAATTGCTTACTTACCACATTTCATTTAACACCGCTGCAGTAGGTTCGGTACCGCAACGTTTCGTACTATGCGCATTCGGTTTCCTTGCCATTGTTAACGCCTACACAATGCGTCACTGTTTGGATATCGCGCTGGCGCACATTGTTACACCCAAACAAAAGTATGGGCGCATGCGCAATCTCAATTCGGTCACGTTAAGCTCATTTAACTTATATGAACGCATGCAACAACAACGTAATGGCACCTTAACGGATGCAATTGGAAAACGACGCACACAATCTATCCACTATGATTGGTCTGATCAGCTGCAAACATGCAATTTGGTCGCCTTTTATGTTGGCTATGTGCTTTCGCATGTGCCCAGCGCACAACTCTCTATGCGTTTTGGTGGCAAGTGGGTGCTTGCTGTCGGCTTAGCAACAACTGCAGTGCTCACAATTCTTACACCAACAGCGGTGAAATGTGGCGGCCCTTTGGCACTTATACTCATACGTATGCTAATCGGCCTAAGCGAGGGCCCAACATATCCGGCTTTGAGTGAACTGCTTTCGAAATGGGTGCCGGCTAAGGAACGCGCAACGCTGGCCTCACTCGTTTTGAGTGGCAGTCAAATTGGCATTTCAATGGGTAATTTCATTTCCGGTTTGCTGTTGCATCGCTACGATTGGACATTGATTTTCTACTACTTTGGTATATGCGCTTTGCTCTGGTTCGTTGCTTTCGTAAGTGCATCATTTAATGCGATCGCCTTACAAAATAAAATTTAATATGTAATTTCATCTACACAGACTTCTTTATGCTACAATGCACCAGAGGAGAGCCCATTTATACAGGAAACGGAAAAACAATATCTGCAAAAAGAAATTGGTACAGTAAGAAGGCGTCAGCAAAGTGTTACAAAAATTCCATGGAAGGGCATATTTCAAAATTTACCTATGTGGGCGATGATTTCGGCTACTGTGCAATACGATTGGACACAACTACAACATGCCGCTGAAGTGCCGCAGTTCATAAAAGACGCCAAGCAGCTGCCGCTAACCGAAAGTTTTATCAGTGGATTGCAGAATCAATTGCCGTACGTTATGAATTGGCTGTTGTCAGTGATTTCCGGTGTGCTTGCCGATCTGCTTGTAAACTATGAGATCTTTTCGGTGACGGTTATGCGCAAAATTATGGCCTTTGCTGGTAGGTTCTTTGAATTTTTCTGTAATGAAAACAAAGCGAATTTAGTAGGAATTTAAAAGTATCAGAGTAGAAATTCTATTTATCTGTTTTTCATCTCTTTCACCTCCACTAATAGCTGCAGTGGCCCCTAACCTATACAATAGCCTACTGCCTTGCTTGAGCTGCAGTGAGAAGGCGGATTTATTTGCCTTTAGCAATTGTGCCATAAATGTGCTGGGCAGTTATTATGCTGGCATTAAATTGACGCCGTTGGATATGAGTCCGAATTTCGCTGCTACTCTAATGGGTATTGCGAATGGCATTGGTTCCTTGACGGGCGTTGTAGCGCCATTTTTGAAGGATTCGTTAAGTCGTTGGGTAATTTTTTTATAAACAATTGTATGATAATTTAGATGAATAAATTCTTTAATCCCTTTTTTTCAGCCACAATTCAAAGTGTTCCGTGCGCTTATTTGGTTAGTTTCTACGTTGCTAATTTCAGGCGATGTACAACCTTTCGATCAGCCACACTCAACGGAGTCAAATAAAAATGAATAGGACAGGCTATAGTTATTATTTAATAAATATGTATTTGAAAGGTAAATTGCAGTATTTATTAAATATATATTTACAAAAAAAAAAATACACGAATAAAGTGCACTGTGTTCGACCTTTTAGTGAACTGAAGTCTAATCTACACCTCAATGTTTTTGGGAGGTTCTACACCGGCTGGGTTGGAGGCTGCTTTCGGCGCTATAAAGTGACTCGAAGGTACAAGTCGTGTTTTTATTATTTTGTAACAGCATACTAATTCCCCAAAGGGTTTTTGGGGAATGATGCTGGAGCGACAGTCCCGGGCCAGATATAAATTTGGGTCGTTCCGGTTACGTAAATTCAACTGTCGTGGGAACGGTATATGTAAGTCGAGTTGTTGAGCCAGCCGTGCGGGCCGTTCCTCCACGGCAATAGCAGACGATTTTGCCTCGATGGCAACGGGTTGACCCCAATAGAAGTGCCAACATTGAGAGTCGGCTTCCACATCCACCATTTCTCAAAGTGGTTTTGCTTTGTCTTTTAGGGTTTTAATGCGCCTTTAACTTCCAGACGAGACTGGCGAGGGTTGAAACCTGGTATAAGCTAGGCTTAATAAAGCTTTAAGAAATAAATAAAATAAAAATTAAATTAAATCAAATAGAAGCCGAGTGTCGTTTTTGTATTTTTAACAAAAAAAAAATTTTTTTTACTAAAACTGGCTTATGTTACTACTAGGCTACCTTTTTAATAGACCTATTAATTTTTAGGTGGTTATGTTTATTTTGTCAATTCAGTTTTGTCTTTTTTCGAACTTCGTGCGTCAATTAAAAATTGACATAACCAATGAAAACGAAGAAAAAACTTATAAAATTTTATAAAACCAAACTCCATTAAATTCAATTATAAAAAAACAGCTACTAAATGACTGACGCAGAGGATAAACGTCCAGAATGGGGCAAAAAATTGTCCAAATGTAAGTTGCTCCAATGACAAAAAAAAAACAATCTCGTTTGCCATACAAGCGCTCTTCTTTCTTTGCAGTTGTCCCAATACCACAGCGTGTTATCATGGCCATAATGGGATTCTTTTCCATAATCAATAATTATACGCTACGCAGTTGTATTTCCGTTACAATCACCCGTTTGGTTTTAAAGCGAACTTATTCAAATGAAACCGCGGCTAGTGGAGAGGTCTGCCCAAAACCTGAATTAACCGAAGAGGAAGAGAAAGTAAGAAAATTCTAGCACTTTTTTTAATCACAAAAAGAACTGATTTAACAAACCTATTTTCTAAAACCATCAGCTGGCAGGCGGTGAATATGACTGGTCACAGGAAATGCAAGGTTACATACTTGGCGCTTTTTATATTGGCTACATTTTGGGGCATTTACCTGCTGGTTTCCTATCCGAAAAATACGGCGCAAAATGGGTCCTGGTATGTGGAATGTCCACAGCTACCATACTAACAATATTTACACCATTGTGCATTAAATTACTTGGACCGGTTGCCTTAATTATTTTACGTGCTATAATGGGTTTTGGCGCTGGCTTCTCATATCCCTCATTCAGTGCTCTTTTGGCACATTGGGTACCCACACATGAGCGTAGTTTGCTTGGTGCATTTATAATGGGCGGTGGTCAAATGGGTACGGTGTTGAGTAATAGTGTGTCAGGAACTATTTTGCGTTATACAACATGGCCATGGGTATTTTATACATTTGGATTTTTCGCCGCTTTGTGGATATTGTTTTTTGTAAGTGATGCGTTGGAAGTTAGAAATTTTAAAACTAAAATGCAATAAAAAAAACAAATTTACTACAGATATTATTGTGCTATAGTGACCCAGAATCGCATCCGTATTTAGGAGACAAAGAGAAGGAGTATCTTATGCAACATATGGGTCGACTTGGACGTGATCATAATTTACCAGCTTTCCCTTGGTTGACCGTCTTCAAAAGCAAAGAAATGTGGGTACTCATTTGCGCCCAGATCGGACACGATTGGGGCTTTTATGTAATGTCCACTTGTTTCCCGAAATTCTTGAATGATGTTTTACAATTGCAAATACTCAAAACTGGCATATACTCTTCGATTCCATTCTTATTATTTTGGTTTGCTTCGCTTTTATTTGGGACAATATCTGACTTTATAATTAAACGCGATGTGAAAAGGGCGACATGTGTGCGCAAATGGATGACATTTATAGGTGAGTGCACACATGTAAGTACATACATAGATAAATTCCACATATTCAAAAAATTCGAATTGCACCGGAATGTGTTACCTTAATCCTCCTTGGAACTATCGTGCGTATTAGACTTACTACCATTTAAAAAATTTATAAAGTATCTATAAAAAAAACACATCCTACCTGCGTTGCTCAATGTTATATCTTTATTAATTTATTTTCACAGCCGCAACACCTTCAGGCCTCTTCATGGTTCTAGCCGTCTATGTTGGCTGTAATACTCTTCTAATTATTTTATTCTTCACCATCTCCATGGCACTAATGGGTGCCTTCTATGCTGGCATAAAATTGACTCCGAATGATATGACTCCAAATTATGCAGCTACTGTGATGGCTATTGTTAACGGATTGGGTGGCATTGCTGGTGTTCTGGCGCCCTATTCAGTAGGTTGGCTAACGAAAAAAGTAAGCACTCTTCTTTATGTAAGCATTTTAAACAAATTCTTTAATTTTAATCAACTTTGTAGACCCTCTTACCTGAATGGCAGATAGTATTTTGGCTGGCTCTTGCTATTCTCACCATACCAACTATACCCTTTTGCATTTGGGGCACAGCTGAAGTGCAGGAATGGAATGAACAATCAAAGAAGGAATAGAAAGTTCAATTTCCAATTCGCAAGGTGCTTTCTTTAGTTTAGTCGATGTGCACTGACGCTTTTATTTAATATACATATGTATTGATACCAATTGAAAATTTTTATTAATTCTCATTTTTAGATAATTGCATTGTTAGTTTTGCTTTGTTTGTTTTGGAGTTGCTTAGTAATTCGTTTTTATAATAGTATATTTGATAATAAAGCTGAAAAATTCAACCTGTTGAAAAGTATCATCAGTCTCTCCATTTGAGTGAATATTATTTTTTGATAAGACTCAGATTCAAAAACTGGAATGTGGTTAACTTAGTTATTAATTGTTTATTTTTTATCTGTTTACTCTCACGTTTTCTTACGACAGAGCTATAAATTTGTTCAATAACGATTTACGTTGGCATCCATATTTATTGTTTTTTTTTTCTACCTTCTCACAGACTAATGAAAAATTAGATTCATCCTCCTCGAAAATACTAAATCTGTTGTCATTGTTAGGATAATAAGTTAGTATCACGAACTGCCTTGCGAGAAATTTTCTTGACCGTCTTGATGCGGTTAACTGCGATCTCTTTCTCCCTATGAGGAAACTTTGACCTTTGCAGTGTGGCCACTATTACCACATACAATGCTATTATTTACTTCACATTCTGATTTGGATTAATTTTTGCCACATTTAAGGCATCTAGCTTTTAATTCGTAGGACATTAAGATATGACCTAATCGTCCACAATTATTGCACTGCCTTAAGGGAGGTATATAAAGGTCTACCTCAAGCTTTGTATGTTCATATATAATCTGTTTAGGGATCTCATTCCCCGAAAAACTTATTTTTAAAGTAGTTGGATTGAATTCGATTGTATCGAATGCTGGATTTGACATACTTTAGAACATAAGATTCCTTAAAACATGTGGACACACCTCTAACAACACCATAGATTTCTGGGGAATAAAGGGTTTCAGACCTCTTTTAAGAACTTTGTTGTCAAGAACCAAATTGTTTTCAGCATATGTATTTTTAAAGGTTACCATATACGTTGTTGTGCCTAAGGTGCAGGCCACGCAATGAATGGCAAAGGGAAGAGCGGCTGAGCGGCGCCATACAGAAATGCCGGTCAGTGCGTGGCCACTTCAATAGTATTTTATATGTTTTAATTTTAAGCCGCTCAGCCGCTCATTGCGTGGCCTCGACCTAAGCCATATGTAAAATTTGTGGCGTCAATCTTTAATTTGGCCTAGCAGGCTTAAACCTGTGGTTAATCTATCATTTGCAGTATTCCGATGAATCGACCAATACAAAAATTTCGCTTTTGAAAGTTTGAGGGTACATCACTGATTTTCGCGCATTTTTCATTTTCTTTTTCCTCAGCATATTCGTGCTTTTTTTAACGGACTCTAACGTAACTTTTTGGAACTGTTTAGTTTCCACACCATTATCATAACTATTCCATGCTGCCTTCAATTTCTACCACCCCCATTCTGCAACTCTTTCGTATTCGGATTTTGCTACGAATCGTAGAAATAGTATGCTGCAATCCGAATCGTACTTTCGAACTTTCGAAATTCGTAACAATGGCATGCCTAAAAACGAACGAGTAAGCTTTTTTGCGTAATTTTGTACGAAAACAATTCTGTGTCGGAGGCGAAATAAAAAGATGTAAATCAATGTGTGTTTGCAAGAAATATTGGTGGTGTTCATTTAAACAGATAAATTTGCCTTTCGCATATACGTATATTTTTATCCACTGCTTCATATCAACGGTAAAAAAGAATCTTTGTTGCCCTTAATCGAGAAACTTGGGTCCGGTTTAGTTATTTGTACAGCGCTTTTCGGTTGTTGTGTCCAAACGCATAGCCCGAAGCCAAAAACTTTAACATACACGTGTAATCAAAGGATTCAAATTTTTTTAAGATAAATGTTTCAAATTTTTTACCACTAGCTTATTAATAAACTCATTTTGCACTATGCACTTTTTTGCAAATTTCGACGTGGGTTCTGCGCAAAAATACTGTAGCCGGAGTGATATGCACAAGAAATGTTGTATGCCTTTGACATGCGGAAGCCCCTCTTCTCCGGCAAGACAGAAAGGCGAATTCTACTTAGTAAGGGTTATAATCTCTAAGCGTGTCGGAAGGCAGAAGCAAGCGCAACAGGTGGTGGACCTAACAAAGTGCATGTTTTCAATGGCTTGGAAGAAGCTGTTATTGCATTAACTGGATTGAGAACCAGAGCTTCAGGCATAGGATTAGTTCTGGCTTGTGGTTCAACAATTCAACCAGAAGCTAACATAGATGCGTCCATGGTTACTATGCCCGGCAGCTCCGCATACCTTTGTGAGTCCATTGCCATAGCGCGCTCTTACTCCGCTGCCATAACTGCAAATGCATCAGAATCAATAATTTTCCTCAAAATATTGAAAACCAATAAATTTTACTATAAACAAGCACATGATGAGTGTTTTTTTAATTCCTTTCCACTTTGTTTTCCTTCATTCAGCTATCTTCGAAAAACAACTGATAGCTGGCAATGATACACATGTTTCCGCAAGGGTTGCAGCATGTGGATTTTTCGTTTTTCGTAGCGTAGCTACGAATTACGAATTACGAAAATTCGGGTTCTAGAATAAGGGGGTACATTTTTCCCGCCACTCGTTTTTGTTAACCGACTTTAACAGAATTTTAATGAACTGTTCATTTTCTACGCCATTATCATATTCCATGCTGCCTTCAATTTCTGCATTTTTCCCGCAAATTTTCACCGCTTTCCTCATTTTTCAAGCCAATTTGTTGGTTAATCTTTATAAGCCCTCTACCTCTGGCGAGCTCACAAAAACCCGTCACCTCTGAGTCGCCTCTTTATTTTGCGCAATTTTTGGTTTCTTGAAGACACTTCGCCGACGACGAATTCGACGACGCCATTATGGCCTTTTTATCTCTGCTAGCCTTTAAAGCATAGCTGGACAGCGTCTCGCCGCCGGGCGACTGCGCGTCGCATTCGCGTATACCAGTCATGCCCAGCGCAGGGCACTTGCATATGGAATTCTGCCAGCGCAGGGAACCTGCTTATGGAATTCTGCTAACGTTGGGCAAGACTGGCGTATACACACACGTTCTGCTTGAGAAGGCAGCGAAAGCTTAATTCAACTGCACGACTCGTTCGCATGCACACAGTGACATCAATTGCACGCACACTACAAAAATGCTCTGCCGAGACCCTCTGCTTTAAGGCAGCTTTGTCTTCTTTTTGATCGGCATTATGAACAATTTTCCTTTTAGTTTCACGCGGGGAAAAAGAAAGAAAATGCGTAATTTCAAAACTACGTCGCCAAACACTCACCTGCCCTCCAATTTGCTGCGCCCAATTTCGCTATAATTTAGTAAACTCGACGGGCAACTAGTTTAGTTGTTTTTAAATGCTATAAATTAGCACACACGCGCCCACACAAAAAGCCTTTGCTAAAAAAAAACTTGGCAAATGAAGTTTCCGCCCGCGTTCTTTAAATTCACAAAATCATTTTACAGTTACTCAAACAGTGCTGCCAAATTTTAAAGCAACTGGTGATGTAAGAAAACAATGTAAACGGCTATTGGATACTGCTGCACTCACACAAGCAATAATTAAAATAACTTATAAATGTTAACAATGGTTTGTTTAATTAATGAATTACAATTGCCAACTAAAAATATACATATATGTATGTATATTGATTTTAAAGCTTCGCTTAAAGAACTATGACTAGTTAGATTCTACTAAGGTACTCGGTTTTTGCACATATATATGTACATATGAACCGGATGTTTAGCATCACAATGTGCAAATCCGGTAAAAAACGGAAATCGGCGTCAAATTTGAAGGAAGTAATAAAAAAACACTGGCCGCTGTCGATTCGCCACCAGTTAGGGGCGAAACGAACGAAACTATTAATGAGGTACAACGAAACTTGCCAACGCTCATTCCTGCTTGCTGTGCCCAGCACCTCTTCACATGCTTAAAGAGGCGGAGGATGAAGATGATTCATGACAGAAACTGGGGGGTTGAGCACTGCTGCCACAACAACTGCTTGCTAACTTTGTTGTTGACTTCACGTAGAAATTTTTCGTCAAGCGAGCAGAGACGTGGCGAATCGAAGGCGTCTACTTTTAGTGCTTGAAAATACAAGGAAATGGAACAAATGTTTCTCCGGACAACTATTTATAATACATTTCCGGTCCAAGTACTTACCCTTAGCAAGATAACCCAAAAGCGAGAATTGTTTAAGGATGAAAAAAGCTTTAGTGGGAATTCTTACAACATCCGTTGGTTATAAAATAAAAACAATGACTGCTTTAAGTGCTAATATTTTAGCTCTAAACGTTTTCGTTTTTATTAATAACAATAATGTAAGCGTAAATAGTTATGATCTAATTTAATATTGTGTGTATAGAAAATGGCCAGGGTACAATAAATTTCAATCAACAGAAATTAAACAATGTAATGACTTTGGATCAACAAGGCGATAATTACATAACTAAAATTTTATTTATAAGTAATAAAATATGTTTGTGATTATTCGCATAATACACTTTTGTTAAACAAGGCATACTCAGGTTTAATTTGCAAGCTTCTGTGCTCCATTTATGTGGCGCAATATCTAAATTTGAATAGTGTATATTAAACCATATGTACTACCTACATATAAATGTGTTAGAACCCACCATGCTCGCAATTCGGTAGACATAACTTTGGCTGTGAATTTCATTTTACACTGTGAATTACGGCAATAGCGAGCTAGCTATGAGTGACCGAATAAAAAGCGCCAAACCCGCTTCCGCTCCATAAACACACAAAATGGGAAAGCTTGTGTTCTAGTTTCGATTAGGCATTAACCCCCCAGAAAACATTTACTTAGAACAATAATACAAGCTTATGGGAGTGTCGTCATAGTTTAATAAAAAAAAAAAACTTAGGAGCACCTCTTCTTTCATTTAGTTGCATGAATTTTTTATATGAGTATTTCCACCTCTTATACTGCACTGATTAGACTTTGCTCGGTAAGGTTGGGCCAAAGGAGGTGAAATGCTTGTATGCTATATTCACGCTTATTAACTGCAAGTTCCTTCTTCTTTAGCTTATTGGAATTTCTTATATTAATGGTTATTTTGCAGCGAAATTACTTAAACTTGATACTACTTCAAAGTACTTTTAAAGTTCCTCTTCTCACACGCTTACATTTTATACCGACACCGGTATTGTACCCGATTGTGCCAGCGCAGATACTGTCGACATATCAATACCCAATCTACGAGTAACATTCACTTGAGCAACTGCGGCATTTCGCAAAGCATATAGATGACCCATTTCTGATCTGCTCTTTGCCAGTTTTATTGCTTTTTCAAAAAGTTCGACAGCACGATTTAGATTTGCCCGTTGCACTTCAATTGTGCCGAGTGTCTCATATGCTAGTAAACATTTGTTGTCCACTTCTACTGCTCGATTCATGAGTTCGATGGCTTTATCAATATCACCCTTCCACTGTAGTAGCATTATGCCACGATGTACATATAATGAAGCATTTTCTGGCGCTAGCTTAAGAGCTTTCTCGTAGAATTGATCTGCTTGTTGGAATTGCTGCTGGTCGCCCAAAACTTGTGCCATCAGACTGTAACATTCAACACAGTCGGGGAATTTCTCAATGGCATTCTTGAATTCGTTCATGACTATCATTAGTCTTATCTGATCTTGGGACATCAATGCCATACGATATTCGGCGTAACATTTCTGTATGTAAGCCATTGCATGATTTGGTGCCATTTTTAAGACCTTTTCAAATTCATTGAGTGCTTCAGGCAGCTGATCAATCAAAATGTAGATTTGTGCACGCTGATGATGAACATCTGGATTTTCTGGTTGCAATTTCGACGCAGCATCAAAATCTGCCAGCCCCAAGTCTTTCTCCTCTAGCTGTATATGCAAGGAGGCACGCTTAATAAAGGCAGCAGCACGAAGCGACACATCGGCATCAGCTAATATTAAACAATTTTAAATAGTTGCACTATTATTAATTAAATATTCATAAAAAACTTAAACCCTTTCACATACCGTTATTGATCACAGCATCCAAATCTTGTTTCGCTGCAGCGAAATTACCCGAGAGCATATGAAAAGTGCCGCGCAACAACAAAGCTTCCGATTTGTATTGTGATTCCGATTCGGAAGTCTCAATCTCTTCCGTACACTCTGGTATAACTTCCTCATACTGCTCTTCTTCCAATGCTTTCTTCGCCCGCGCAAAACCTTTCAAACTTGCTCCGTCTTCTGCCATAGGCAAAGTAATGCCCTCTATTGGATCAGCAATAAATGA